TATTAATTTGTGATATTGTTAATGCTTTTTGGTAATTCCTGTAAATAGTTATTGTTTCTGGTGTGGTGGTAACCTTCGTGTAGGTTTAACCTTTAAATTTTATGTAAAAAACTTTTTCTGGTATCTACATCCAAAACTTAACTATACTTTTAATATAGTGTGCTTAAATTTAAATATTTGATTGGCAATAAATTGAAGAGAGCTTTGATCTAGACTGCTTTTAATATTTATATTTGTCGTATTTTACAGGTTTAAACATTCAGAAGGGAAAGAATGGGAAGTATCAATGTGACAGTTGCAAGAAAGAATTCGTTTCGAAGTATAATTTAAAATATCATCAGAGGATTCACACTGGAGAAGGACTCTTGTCTTGCCAATACTGTAATCGTCAGTTCAACTATCCCGGCAGTCTACGGGACCACGTCAAGACTCACACCGGAGAGAAATCCTTTATTTGTGATCATTGCAAACAATGTTTTATACTAAAAGGAAATCTGATTCGACATCTCCGAACTCACACGGGAGAGAAGCCTTTCTCTTGCGACCATTGCAAGCGAAGTTTTACGCAAAATAATAATCTGATAGAACATCTTCGTCTTCACACCGGAGAGAAATCCTTTATTTGTGATCATTGCAAACAACGTTTTACACAGAAAGGAAATCTGATTCGACATCTCCGAACTCATACGGGAGAGAAGCCTTTCTCTTGCGACCATTGCAAGCAAAGTTTTACGCAAAAAAATAATCTGATAGCACATCTTCGCCTTCACACCGGAGAAAAACCATTCTCGTGTAATCATTGCTTACAAAAATTTCGTGTTAAAGCTTCTTTAAAGTATCATATTATTAAACATCATAATAGTAACGAATAATGACTTGTGGAAATGATTTTATTCACTTTCCTTGCAAATCATGTAATACTCGTATTTTAGATATTATTGAACATGAAACAACAAATTTCTAAAGTTTGATTTTTTTCGTTTTGTAACTTTCATTTTGTGCATAAAACAATTGATTTATGTACCGAAAAACATATGGTTTTTAGAATAAATACAAATTTCATTAATTAGAAAGCAATATGGTTATTATTACTTGTTTACGTACTGTACGTGTCATTTATTTAGGGCGATAACATTCATTTCTATTATTTACGGAGAATTCGTTTATTGTTAGAATAAGTATTCTAACGACCACTTCTCACGATTACTTGTCATGTTTCTGCATGACAAGTAATCGTGTTTGCACGAAGATTAATTAGTGTCACTCGCTTTATTGGGAGATCCGAAAGAGATTACAAGAATGGAATTTTACTGTAAACGTCGTTTTTGAAAATTATAAACGGTAAAAATGTTTAAAATTTTTAACAATGGCCAAGGTTTTGAATCAGCAATACAAAGATGATACTAATTTTTGATATTCTCAATTGTGTTTGAAGCATAATCATTTCGCATAATTATATTTAGAATTATGCGAAATAATTATATTGTAATATAATTATAATAAATGAAATTATAATTATATAATTATAATTGTGTTTGAAGTATAATTATAGCTTGACAAGTTGTCCTCTTCCTATTAGTAATAGGATTATATTAAATAATAAATGTGTATTTAAATAAAAGCATTTGTAATAGTTTCTTAATTGCATTCTATAGTTTACGCCACATCTGTCTTTTTATTTTTATACATATTTTAAATGAATTTTAATTGACATTTGTTTCAGTAATGGCGATTCCGAAGTTGGAAAATAATTTTTTTTATACTTGTGGCAGTAATTAAGTTAGAATAAATAATGTAGTTGTAGCTGTTTACGTTTAATAGTTTCTTTATCTTGCAATTGTTCCACGCTACTTTTAATAGAAACAGGTCGTAAAATCAGAATCTAAATTAAACCACTACAGACAGGGCCGTATGCAATAGGTACTAGACTGGATTGAATTTTATTGCGGAGCCCCTCAAACTTTAAATATAAAAATTAATTAACAGTTAATTTACATATTAAAATATAGATTTTAAATATTCATTTAAAACAAAATCCAAAATCTAATTATAAAAATTAAAAGTCATGGCAATAAGGTAAGACAAATTTCTACATTAAAAAACCTGTATAAATACAACTAAATTTTATTGAATATAAACATACATAGATAGATGTTTTAGCATTTCTATATATTTATATGAATATAACTACATAAATTTTACCATGAAAAATCTTTCAATATGTTGAATGAATACATTTGAATTTTATTGAATATAAACCTATAAAGAGATATTTTATTTGTTCGAAGTTTTTATTGTGTAAAATCTTTTAAAATAGTATCAAAATCTAACTGGCGTGCTTCTTGATTCTCAATCGACACGATCGCTAAACTGTTTAATTTATTCTGTAATTTGAAACTATTTATAATATATAAATTTTGATGTGCTGCGAAACCCCTTCAAGCTCGGGGTCCGATCGGTGCATGTCACTCCATTCGCCTGAAATCCGGCCCTGACAACAGATAGATCTTAAGTTTTGACTCTGTTTCTGTTCTTTAATCTGATTGCTTCATGTATCATTAAAAATATTACAAGGAATTTTAATGAAATTGTTTCTTAAAGTTTGAGGGATCAATGAAGATCCCGCTAAGCACCACCGTTGGTTGCCTCTACCTACTATGGCTGCCGCAGTAGACGACGAGCAGGAACAAGGGCGTTGGGTGGTGCCCGCAGTTAGAATAATAAGCCATCAAAGGTTTTAGTCACCGACTCGATGACTGCGATCAAAACGATTAAAAATAATTATCCATCGGACGAACTTTTACAGATAGTATTTTATTACTTTTAAACGTAATTATTGTTTTTAGTTTTAATTAACTGGCTATTGAATATTGATAAATATTATAATATATTATATTACTAACTGATGAACCCGGCATTGCTCGAACAAAAAATAACAACAGCAAAATTATTAGTTTACTTCCTACTTTTAACCTTTTTACTATATTATATTATAGTATTTGAAATATAATACTATAATACGTTTCAATCCAACATTTTATCGCTTGTCATTTCATTTTGACTTCTTATAAAACTTGCTATCACAAATTCACCCACAAATCTAAAAAACAGATAATAAAAAAAATCAAAAGTTTTTTTTTCAGCAATACTGCGCCAACAATGGAAACATCCAAGAATGCGTTTTATTACCATTTATTATTTCTGTGTTCCAGAATGTGCATTGTCTGGAACACAGAAATAATAAATGGTGGTCCCTTTTGGCCAGACTGTCTTCAATTTTATTTAAAAATAATCTCCATCGGGCGAAAATATACAGTGCCGTGAATTTGTTTTTATTAAAATGTAATGTTTCTAGACTTTTCTGTATTGTATGTGATATGATACCAGTAGAAAGGAGGACGACAGGTGCATTAAATACCTTATTCATCACAGCGGTTTTAGTTTTTGAACGAGTGGAAGGTTGATTATTTCAAAATGAGCATTTTTATATTATCAGTAGATGTCCATCTTATAAGCGATCTTACTGCATTTGTCGATGAGAGTGAAGTCAGTGTGCATGCTAGTGAATTCTTTTATCTGCGATTATGGCTGTGTCATAGTATATTTTGTATGTGTTATTTGCTAAGGCTGCATATGAGGTATATTAGGAACCGTCCATAAATTACATAAGGGCGATTTTGGCCAATCTAGACCCTCACTCACTATTGTGTGAGAAACCGTAATATTTTCTTTGATTCCCCCTTCCATATCTTACGTAATATTTAGGCCTTAGGTTCAAAATATATAATTAATTTACTATTATTCATAAAAGACTTTATGTGAACAAATTGAAAAAAGATAAAAATTTAATGAATTTGAATGAACAATTTATTTTAAGAACTTTANAGGACTGAACACGTAGTATTTTCTTTCTTAAATAAAATTTGTAATCTAATTTTGTAAATTTGGGAGTGCTTCAAATATGACATTAAAGCAGGGTTTTATGTCGTTACAAGTAAGTTTTTTAACATTGTCTAGTATAGTAAAATCGTGGGACTAGTAAAAATTTGAAGTTATAATCAGGTTAAACTGTATGTTGTTTGTGCAAAATAAAAAAAAATAATTTCGGACGATACAATAGCCACGATTATTTTTTTCAAAGACGAGAAATTTTCGTTAGGCATCGACAAAAATTCAACCCGGGCCGACACGCAACGCAGAGAAATTTCGAAATTGGATAGGTTAATTTCATCGAAAATGCATGGTGGACGACCTCGTGGTCGTGGCTGGCGAAGTTTGAACGATCGCGCCCAAAAGCAGCGATACCAAAGAAGATTGGAGAATGAAAAGAGATCCGCTTTGAGCGTCAAAGTGATTTCGCTTAGTAGTGTCCCCGAGGCATAGTCGTGTCCCAAATACGGTTTTGCCGTTTTACTTGTTTAAACCTTTTTGGTTAATATTTAAATAATATAATATTTTACCAGTTTTATCAGTATTATACAGTTGTCCAACAGAAGTGTAATCTATCTTATTTACAAATCTTTTCAAAATAGACAGTTTGACCGGGCCCTTCTAAAAACCGGGCCCTAGACATTTGTCTCATTTCTCTATGCGATGATCCGGCCCTGCCTTGCGCTGATCATCGGCGATAGATTGTGGGCTCCAACGGACAGAAAAGTACAACCTTCCATATCGACTTTTCTCTGTAACCAAAGGAGAACGGAAGTACGCCACTAGTAACGAGCTAAGAGTTAAGTACTATACTTATTCATCGTCCATTTTCTCTTCCATTCTTCCATTCCATCGAAGTGTGGATCAACACGTTTCCTCTCGTTTCTTCCCTGAAAAATTTTGCTTTCCAGAAAACAACTTTAAATGTATTGAATAGTTGCGATGAAAACATACTTTGCCGTTTCTGTACTTCTACTCTGCACTCGTTACACTTCGATGCAACAATCGTCAATTTAAAAATTAGAATAAGTGTTGCTATGTAATATTCAAATTTCAAAAAGATATAGATTTTTATTTGACGAAATTTATAAAAGTAAAACTAATAAAAAGATCTGTCATTGCAATATTATTAATTAATTAATTAAATATAGTAAATACTTTTGAAAGTGTTATAAATAAATGATTTTGAACTCAAAAGCCGTAAACAATCAAAGGTATGGGCGAAGATGAAATATAAATTGACCGAGAAGAACAATCTGCATTTGAATATGTTCTGCATTTATATAATTTCTTAATTACAAATTATTCCATCCATCCGTCTGCATTTCTAAATCGGGCGGGTCGATCTGGATAAAAATTAGCAATACCTGTCAGACCTCCTCCGGATGTTTCGCACCCGCACTTTGCCACGTTCACATTTATTTAAGGATACACTGGTAAATATTTATATTATTCTACTCTTATTTGGTTTTAAATTCCCAGCATTTTGCCTCGGCTTCAATTAAGTGGCATTCTCGAATGGGATCTCGGGATGGCGGGTGTTGTCCAAACACTCTCCATTTTTTCGGTAATGGTACACGGAGCGTCGTCGTACGGGATGTTGTGGTAATTTTGTGTGGCTACCAATCTAGCAGTTTTATAAGTTTCTGTAATTCTTCTTCCAATTCATTACTGAGGAGATCCAAATCACGAGAATGCAAATTCTTCCGTGCTCCCCAATGTGTAAATTTTGCGTATTAAAACGAGTCCAATCGGGATAACACTTTTGTTTAGACGGTTTAATGGAAGGTTTTTCTGTACCCGACTTGATAAATTTCAAGTGTTACGTCTGCAGGTAAGTTCTTTCATTTAAAAAACGATAGAATTATTATAAACACCGATCACATTACCGCACATCCGGGTATTAAATAATCTTAAACCGAATGCAATTTCTCGAATGTCGAAGATATCGCACTTTCCGTTTGAGAAATCAAACAATTCATAATTAATAAATTTCAGAAATGGAAAACAGATTTAAACGTGGATTTTCTGCTAACTTAATTTACATTTTACCACTGTTTGTGACTTTTGGGTTCAAAGTAATTATTTATAATGGTTTCGACAAAACTGATTTTTAACATTATTTCAATGAAAGATTATTTTTGAATTTTAGACCCACAACTTTTGAAAAAAATAAAGAAATTAGAAATTTTTGAATTTTAAATATTAGATGGCACCACTCTATTTTGAAAATTGACGGTTAGGCAATGTCGAAGTCCGGTAAGTGTAACTTGGATTAGAGAAATGCTAAAGTACGTTTTATCCTAAATACAGGATAGATTTAAAATTGTTTTCTGATGAGCTAAATCTTTTAGGAAGAAATCAAAGGAAACGTGCCATTTGGTGTCCGTTTTTCTCCATCGTCTTGGGATCGGTTCGTACTACTTCACTACAGAAAAGGAAGCGGCAATGAATATGTATAGTGGACTACACTTCGCTCAATACTAGTGACGTAATTCCGTTCTGTTTTGGTTACAGAAAAAGTCGACAGAAGTTTTATTTTACTGTGTTGATAGCCCACAATTTTTTGCATCTGTAAAGACAGTGGGTGTAGATTGTATTGTCCTTTCAGCCGCACGACGAAACGAATGGAAGCTTAAGGAATTCTCGTCCACACAGGTAAGTGAGTCGTTTCTTCGAATATAAACCGTCGCCATTTTATTTCGATAATTAATAGTTCGGGCGTAGATTTTTTTAAAATTTAACATTATTTACAATCTTGATGGAAGGAACAAACCTCGTTGACGATTTCACTAGAAAGAGAAAAGGAAGATTTTTTTTACAAATCAGAAGAAGAGATTTCTCGGGAAACATTTGGTGATGTATCGAATTCCTTAGTGTTTGTGGTAACAAGTATGGTTAGTATTTTACGTGTCTTTCTTGACTGAAGTTTATAAAATTAGTAAGTAAATTTCTACTTTGTTCCGAAATTAAAAAAAACATTCAAAATACGGTTGGGTTTTTATAACTTTTAGTTCTTAAATGAAAGCTGTAAAATAGGAAAACCGATAGACACTTTATATAACTATTCTTCGTAAAATACATTTATACCTGACTTTTTTCTTTGTAAAAATCGCAGATAAAGCTACTTGCCATTCTACCGGCTGGGTGTAAAACCCAGTGGTATATTATGGCCAAAAAAGAATTTCTATGATTACATTAATTTTGATATATTTAAATTTGACTTAGAAAATAATGTATGACGTCATTCTCGTATCCGATTTTATTTGGCACTTTTTATGACTTTCAGGTTCATTAAATAATCAAGAGCATTTCTGTGTACAAAATGAAGAATTCTTTCCGGGAAAACACAAGAAGAGTCGAAGGATGTGTTCGACTTTTGTTGTTAACATTAAAGCCAGTGTTAAGAAATCATACAAGAATACATCAACAAAGAAACCGTCTTTCGTGCAAGTGAAGAAAAAGAGAGAAATCTACGAAGATATTTTAAAATTATTTTCGGAATATTTGTTTGTTTTTATTTTTGCAAAATACACTCCATTTATATTGTTTTCAGAAAGT